GGCACATTGCATGGGAGCTGGGGGGGGGCATTTGGGATGGGGGCTGTTGAATTTGGGGGGGTTGCAAGGGGCAGGGGGGGCTGCATTGGGCTGGGGGGGGTCACACAGTGCCCGGGGGGTGTCACAGAGGTGACTGAAGCCACCCCCCTTGTGCCCCCCCCCATCCGCTTCCCGCAGCCTGGAGGAGGTCGGGGCGCTGCCCGCGGGTCCCAGCACCCCAGAGGCGGCCGAGGCGCAAGGGTGAGTACCCGCCCACACACAGACACCGTGTCCCCAAGTGTCCCCACATGTCCCAAGTGTCCCCACATGTCCCCCCATGTCCCCATGTGTCCCTGCATGTCCCTACGTGTCCCGTGTCCCTGTGTGTCCCCACGTGTCCCTGCCTGGCCCACCGTGTGCCCCCATGTTCCCAAATGTCCCTGCGTGCCCCCCCCGGTGTCCCTGCGTGTCCCCCTGTGTCCTGGCGTGTCCCCAAGTGTCCCCACGTGTCCTCCCGTGTCCCCTCGTGTCCCCGCCGCCTGCAGGGCCCTCTCGGCGCTGCTCTGCTCCTGGCTCGAGGGCCACCCCGAGGACCTGGGGGTGGCCCTGGGCACCCCCCTGGGCCGCCGCTTGGTGGCCGCGCTGGCGCCCGGCTCCGAGGCCGCCCGGCGCCTCGAGGCCACCGGTGTCCCCGGGGCACCCCCGCCGGCGGCGGCACCGCCCGAGGACGAGGACGAGGACGGCGCCGGGGACGCGGAGCCCCTGGACATCCTGGGCTTCCAGGCGCAGGAGGTGGCCGAGGAGCTGACGCTGACGGAGGCGGTGGGTGGCCCTGTCACCACGTCCCCATCCCCGTGTCCTCATCCCATCCCTGTCCCCATGTCCCCATCCCCATGTCCCCATTCTCATCCCCATGTCCCCATCTTCATCTCTGTCCCCATGTTCATGTCCCCCTTCATATACTTTGTCCCCATGTCCCCCTCACCAGCCAAATCCGTGTTCCCTCCTCCATGTCCCCATGACTGTCCTCATCAACAGGTCCCTTTCTTCATGCTTCATTCCCATCACCAACATCCATCCCTATGTCCCCATGATTGTCCCCATGTCCCCACCTCCCCATCTCTTCCATCCCCATGTCCCACCATCCCCGTCCCACGTCCCCACGTCCCCTCTGGTGGCCCTGACCACCGCTGCTGTCCCCAGGAGCTCTTCATGCGCCTGGTGCCCTACGAGTGCCTGGGCTCGCTGTGGTCGCGGCGGGACAAGAAGGGCCGCGAGGACGCGTGTCCCACCGTGAGGGCCACCGTGCGCCAGTTCAACCGCCTGGCGGGCGCCGTGGTCACGTCCTGCCTGGCCAGCCCGGAGCTGCGGCCACCCCAGCGTGCCCGGCTGCTCGAGAAGTGGATCCGTGTGGCCGAGGTGAGACCTGGACCCCGTGGGGGTGGCCCTGGGCCGGCAGTGGTGGCCTCATCCCAATGGAGGTGGCCTCATCCCAATGGAGGTGGCTTCATCTCAGTGGAGGTGGCTTCATCTCAATGGAGATGGCTTCATCTCAATGGAGATGGCTTCATCCCAATGGAGGTAGCCTCATTCATACTGAAGATGGTTTCATCTCCAGTGGAGATGGCCCAGTGGTGGTGGCCCTGGGCCCCAATGGAGGTGGCCCTGGGCCCAGTGGTGGTGGCTTCATCCCCCACTACTCGTGACTCATCCCCCAGTACTGCTTCCATTCCAATGGAGATGGCCCAGTGATGGTGGCTTCATCCCACGTGTCCCCATTCATATTGAAGATGGCTTCATGCCCAGTAGAGATGGCCCAGTGGTGGTGGCTTCATCTACCCAGTACTGGTTTCAGTCCAATGGAAATGGCCCAATGGAGATGGCCCCGTTCATATTGAGGATGGTTTCATCCCCGCGGAAGAAGGCCCAATGGAGGTGGCCCTAGTCCCAGTCGTGGTGGCTCCATCCTGGGAGGGTCTCTGTCCCTGCCCCTAAGGTCATCCCCAGCCCAGGTTGTCCCTGTCCCCAAGCCAGGGCTTGTCCCCAGCCCTTGAGACATCCCCATGTCTAGAGATGTCCCCATGTCTAGAGATGTCCCCATGTCTAGAGACGTCCCCATTTCTAGAGACGTCCCATCTCTAGGATGTCCCCATCTCTAGACGTGTCCCCATCTCTAGACATATCCCCATCTCTAGAGACGTCCCCATTTCTAGAGATGTCCCCAGTTCTCAAGGTGGCCCCAGGCCAAGCTTGTCCCCAGCCCCAGTGGTGCCCAGTGCCCCCCAGCCCTAGAGTTGTGCCCAGCCCCAGTGGATCCCGGTGTCCCCAGCCGGGAGGGGACGTGTCCCCAAGTGTCGGTGTCCCCAGGAGTGCTGCGCGCTGAGGAACTTCTCGTCCCTCCGTGCCATCGTCTCGGCGCTGCAGTCGAGCCCAGTCCACCGCCTCAAACGCACCTGGGACGAGACCACGCGGTACGGGGACACCGCGGGGACAGTGCGGGGACGCCGCGGGGACAGCGCCGCTCACGTCACCTCTGTCCCCAGGGAGGCCCAGCGCAGCTACGAGGAGCTCAGCGCCATCTGCTCCGAGCAGGACAACCACAGCGCCGGCCACCAGCTGCTCTACCAGGTCCCCCGGTGTCCCCAGGGCCCTTGTCACCCACGTGTCCCCACTGCTGTCACCTACAGCCTGCCCAGCGCTTGTCCCTGCGCGTTGCCTTGGCCCCATCACTGTCCCCGTACGCAGTGGCTTGTCCCTGTCCCCTAAATGGTGTCCCCATCTGTGTCCCCTCTGTGCTCGCTTGTCCCCTCTCTGGGCTCTTATGGCCTGGACTGTCCCTAGCCGTGTCCCCTATGTACTGGTGTGTCCCCATCCCTGTCCCCTAGCCCTTCTGCTGTCCCCTGTCCCCAGTGTCCAATGTCCCTTGTCCCCAGTGTCCCACGTCCCCATGTCCCATGTCCCCCCTTGTCCCCTCCACCAGGAGAGCCCCCAGCGAGCGCCGGGCACCGAGAGCACCCAGAGGCGGCAGCCGCGGCGGCCCCACGAGCAGCGGCCCCTGGTGAGACTGGGGACCATGGGGACACGGGGGACACGGTGTCATTGTCCCCATGTCCCCTGGTGAGACCGGGGACCATGGGGACACGGGGGACACGGTGTCATTGTCCCCATGTCCCCTGGTGAGACTGGGGACCATGGGGACACGGGGGACACGGTGTCATTGTCCCC